CATTTGTCTGTTGCCCTCTGTGGAGGCACTAGAAGCAGAAGCAGAGTTATCAATAACTCTACACATCTTTGTAGGACTCTCTGTGGCCAGGTCACTAAATTTTCTTGGTCTAAGACCGTGGAATGAACCATCATGAATTTCATCACCTTTAATTTCAAGTGCTTCATTGCCTTCTCATGCAGGGGCAGATAACAACAGGTATATTTAAAACAAATGCCTAGTGGTACAAGATAGCCTGTGGCATACACATCCCTTCCCAGGGAAGGAGGGGCAGAGGAGAGAACAGATCTATTAATCACATTGCTGTTACTACTCTATTTGAAGGCACACTGACGCTATGAATGGGATGATGAACATGATATATATGCACCTAGATATAAAATACTGCTTCTTCCTATTGGTAGCTAAAGTAGTGGAGCAGCATTTTACTGCTTAAATCTCTTCTCCACGTTGTTTTTTCATTTACCTATATGTTTGGCTCATTGAGCTAATGGGGCATCTTCTACGTAGTGTTGAGGCAAATCTCTTCAGTGTGCTCTCCCTAGACAGTACCATGTTTTTCCTAGTAACTCTCCAAGCTCTTGGCCTGGCCCATTCTTACTAACTGATGTGCATAGTTTACGTAGAGGTCAGCATCCCTAGCAGACAAGCAAATAGAGGTACTCAGGAATGAGATGACATGTCCAAAGTCAGGCAGCAGAGCAGTTAAATATCCATAAAGAAAACGTAGGTCCCTCAATCCTAGTCCACAGCTCATCACAAATGGATATTCTTTCCTTGTTCACAATGCTTGGGATAAATTGCACTAACTTAACAGAGCTGAATTGGAATGAGAACAACTTTAAAGAAACTGGATTCTGTGTGTTTTGATGGGGAATCATCATCTTTTAAAATAGGTGCTGAAGTCTGGGTAACAGAAACCTCTCATAACGGAGTCTGTGGCTCTAAGCACCACAGTGGTTACTTGCCAAGTGTCGTTCTGATGGCTAGGGCTGCTGAAGATACCCAGGGCTGTGATTTAACAGCTTCTGGGAATATCTGTATCTGGATTGTGAGGCTGCCTAACCTGTGAGCCCTAGAAGTTAATTCCCATCTCCCAGTGGAGATGGGCCTCCAGTGGCCTCCAGACAGGCCAAGACACAGGAATATTTATCCCTTCCGTCTTCCTCCCCAAACGCTTCCTAGTTTCAGCCGGAGGAGGCAGGCCCCACCGTGTGCAGCCATACGTGTACCGCTACTGGGCTATTTAGATGTTGCCTGACTGCTTGAAGCACCCAAAATTAACAAATCAGGATTCTCAGGATTAGAGAAGATGTGCTTCAGGCATTAAGGACTCTGTCTTTTCTTGTTAAAGTCTAGAGAAGATTTTTACTTTCCTCAGCAGAAGTAGGTTTTGAACTAACACAAATAGAAATCAGACTGAAGCTGACTCTCTGAACTAGATTTGGGTTCTGGTTCAAACACTGCTCTTAGAACTAAGAGAGGAACCTTCTGGGACATCGCTCTCAGATCTCTGACCTCAGAGCAAGCCAGTGATTCCAGCAGCACTACTGGAAGGTGAAAATAATCTGCCCCAAACTGCCCTGTCCTGGCCTCCCCTTTTTTAAAATGAGATGAGAGGAATGCATGCTAGGTTAATGTTCACACAAACCTATTGATTTAAGTGCATCTGAATGTTAGAATAATATCCATCAGAGAAATGTACTCTCTGTGAACAAGTTGACTCTCCGTCTACTTTTTGTTTATTTTATCGCATCTAGATACAGCAGCAGTAAAATATGAACATTGAAAATGCTTGTTTATGAATAATAGAATTAAAAGGTAAACTATATTAAGGCCAAATGCGATAATCATTTTTTCTAAGTGAATGATTATCTTTATCTAAGGATGGTATGTTCTGTTTTTCTGCTGAAACTAAAAATGCTGATGTTAGGGTCCTACACGTTCTGACTGACTCCTGCATGTAGAATTTTCCTACACTAGGACTTACCAATTTATGAAGAGGGATCGAAGGCTGACAGATGCAGTGAGAGAAAGAGAGAACTGCTCTAGCACGGAGTTTTATGGAGTCCAGGAACAGTAGTACAAAATATGAGGTTGATACAACCAATTTGCAGAGTTAACATATTGGTTTGGTTCCTGAACATTTTAATTCTCTTTGTTTTACAGTGATAATACTTTGTGTTGTTGAGGTCATAATTATATTGATGCTGATCTTCCTGAGGAATCGGATCCGGATTGCTATTGCACTGTTGAAGGAAGGCAGTAGGTATGTTTGTCTGATTTTAATATATCTTTAACTTGATTAAGCGACCTCTAGGTACACGCTTCCTGAGCTACGTCTTGCACAAACAAGGGCAGAGAGTTGGGGGTAAAAGCACAGCATGGGGATTACTGAGCAGAACAGGAAGAGTAAGGAATACCCGTTCTTCGTTAATGAGGTCGTGCTCAAAACAATTTTCTCTTCTGCCACAAGACATTTCTTGTCTCAAAGCTTCCTGCCTTAGGAGCACACATACCTTTTGAGGTACCATGTATCCTCAGTGCAAGAGGGTGCATCGGCAGAACCGCTAAGCGTGGGCATGCTGCCAGTAGGTGACAGGGACTGGAGCTGCCAGCTTTGCCCTGTCACCGGGGTGATGTATTAGCAGTAGAGGGTCTATGTTGTTTATGCAGTTTCATTGCGAAATAGGCCAGTCTCATTGGCAACTACTGACAACATCTTCTTTGGCAGTGGAGCTCTGTTGTTAGAGCTCCTTGAGTTAGCTCCAAATTTATCTATGTGCGCTTGCTCATGGTTTTCTGTCATCTCCATTGCCACCATGGTCCTCAGGAATAGGATTTGGGATTTTTGTAATGTAATTCAGCTAAGTACCCATTTCCTGTCTTCTGCAACTACTCATGTAGACCGTAGCAGTTAATCCTGGCATCACCCCCGATTCCACTCTTTAGGGCCTGTTGATTAAAATCCAGGAGCACTTTAACATTCTGCAGCACTTTTGTTCACAACCTTGACAGCTAGAAGTGTTTAAGAAATGTCATAAACTTCCTGTTGAGAAGTGAAAGCATCCTCTAGTTTTTCAGCAGTGTGGAAAGGTCACTTGAGGGTGAAATTTTTATGTATAATGAAACACTATAAGTAATTACTGCAGACTTAGACCATGCCCTATATTCAGGAAGATGAAAAATTAATTGCTGATGGCTATGAATCGAATAGTGTTTTTCAATGCCTTTTAACTATTCTCTCAAAAACTTTACAATTTCTAATAGAAATAATTGTCTTGAAATCCATAGTTAGGAACAATTAACAAACAGTTTGTTGGAGTAGCTGTCCCTGGTTTTGTTAGAAAGTAACAAGGCCTACCTGAACTGCTGAACACTGTTAATATGCAGTGATTGTGTCTCAGATTGCATAAGGTTGTGGCCTCCTATTTGGCTTTTAATGCGTTATTACGTCCTTAGACTCGGAGAGGATGTGGCACATTTACTGGAAAGAAATTAGAGGAATGGGAAGAGGTATATGAGAGGACTGGAAAGAGAACCAGCCTGTAAGCTTCAGCAAACAAAACACATGCTCTTCGACGTTACACCGAGTGAGATGCCCAGCTAACGGTGTTCGCCTGCCAGATAGCTGCAGCGTGTCACTCGCTGGCAGAGCAGGAGCAAGCGTGCTCGTGCTCCTGCCGGCTGGTCGCCTTCCAGCCGCAACAAGCGCTCGTAGCCTCTTCGTCAGCCTCCCAAGCATCTGCCTTGATGGAGAAAGGAGCTCTCTAAGCTGCTAACAGTAAAAGGCCCTTTTTCATTCTTTGTTTGTGCCAACGGCCAGAGGCCCCTACCACCTATTTACGGCACATTCAGGAAGGTGTCCGAATGCCCTGGAATTGCGCAGACAGGTCGAATGTCCCCATGCCAAAGCAGCTAGTACTTAGGGCAGGAAAGGGGCTGGGAACAGAGCCCCTCAAAGGCAAAGTGGTGAGGGGGGATTTGAGGCTGCGTAGGGTCAGAAGGGAGGACATAGGAGCTGAGTGCTGTGGGACACAGAAATAAAGGGAAATGTCTGCAGCAGCCACAAGAAGCTGTGATCGAAATGGGTTTATGACCAGGATCTGAGCAGCAGCAGTGGAAAAAGAGCAAGTAGAAGTGGGAGACAGACTTGAACGTGGCAGATAGATGAAGATGCCTGCACTGCCGCCAGTAAAGGAGGAGTGGTAGAAGTAACACAGTGAAGATGAGAAGCTGTTTGAAGACAGAACCAGCGGTATCCCAAGATCCCAGCGCTAGATTATGTTACCGGCATCAATAGGTAGCTCACAGTAAAAAGGATCATGACAGAAGACTGATTAAAAAGCTTGTTTCTTAAATTGTTGTAGCTTTCTGATATATTCTGTTTCCTTCACAGGGCTATCGGCTATATAATGTCTACGTTGTTCTACCCAGTCGTCACCTTCATACTCATTGCAATTTGCATTTCCTACTGGGCTGTGACAGCTGTGTATCCTTCTGTCTGTGTAGCTGTCCGGAGAGACCTTGTGCTCCACAAGATCAGATGGTGCTCTGCTGTATCACCTTACCAAACCAGCATCAAGAAGGCTATTTGGTCACTTAGCACTTGCTCTACTGATGCAGCATTGTTCCTCACTGCACATTTGGCTGCGATGTACAAATCTGACAGTGGATTTTAATTGCATTAAAAAGAACTGGGCTGAAATTCATGCTAGGGCAGGGGGATCATGCAAGGCTCTACGTACTACCTAAGGTTGGCTTTAAGGGCTAAATAGGGCCCTCAGCAAAGACTGAATATGGCCTTTACTGTACTGCATGTTCTACAGGCCCCATGTTAATAGTCTCTTATTTAGCTGGGGAAGTTCCAGGTGATTTTTTTGTTCAGAAAAGCATAGGAAAGGAATGAGAGAAAATACAGTGGACTGAGTCCTCTCTAAAATGCACAACAGCAACCACCGACTGTTCCTGCAAGGGAACAGCAAGTGTTGACAAGGTACCAGAGAGGGGAAGTTTTGCTTTCTGAAAACAAATTTTTCTTCCCTCACATGCAAAGAGGCTCAGCTATAGCTGTTCCGGACAATGTTAACTTACCTCATGCTTCGTGTCTACTTCCACTAAAACATGAACTGACAAAGATGCGCTGGGTGATTTGCTTTGCCATAGCTAGATATATGTAGGAGAGGCTGAGGCAACTTGCAAGGTTATTCCCCTTGCCTGTTTTGGGCAGGGGTTAGTTTTCTAGATATGAGAGAATTCAATCATCTGCTCTATCAGCTCGTCATACACGTCGCTGCATAACAACAGCAATTCTTCTGTTATCTGCACAAGTTCTTTAGAGCTAGTGATTTCCCCACTGCAGAATCTTTTAAGTTGCCCAAAGTCTACAGTTCTGTGATTCTTCCTTAAAACAGTTCATTCAGTTTTCTGGCTACATCAGGAGAGCCTGTGTATAAGGTAATGGCTAATCAAACACTGTGCAAGTATGCAAACCTGAGTTGTGACCCAGAGGTAAGTGTAACTAATATTTGCCTCTAACAAAAGAGTACGCTCATTGCATGTCTTAAGTGCTATTAAGTCCCTGTGCAATGCTGGTAGAAGACATGCATGTTTTTAAGCAATGATTACTCGTGTTAAATCTGCGAAGAGTACTTAATGTTCAGATAATGCTTTCTTTGTTCAAAGCAATTTACAGAGATAGATACACTAAATAATCTGCGAAACTGTCCTGTGAGGCAACTAGATACTAATAGTTTTATTTTACAGGCTGAGAAAGAGAGACACAGAGATAAGTTTTTTTTATTTTATTTTTATTTTTATTTTATTTTATTTTATTTTATTTTATTCTCAAATTCTTGAGGCTTTTATTTTGGGGTCTGCAAAAGGCAATGGAAGATTTTAAAAGCTGAGCCTCAAACTCGCCCAATCAAGCAAAAGGACCAGCCATATTTTAGAAGCAGAGCCCCAGATAAATATTGGGATTCTCTCAGCACAACAGTGGCCTTTATGGAGGCCCAGAATACTTGTCTTTTTTAAGTCAAATGTTTTGACTTGACTGTGGGACTGAATTCAATTATTTTTTGAAAAACGGAAGTATTTGTGAAATGTTATGCCAGCACGGTTATCTTTAGGTGTTTAAATTTCAGTGGAATGCTCTAGTATCTGTATCCCAAACAGCTCCCCACTCTGCTGATGCCTGAACACTGGAAAAGAGAGGGATTAGAAATGGGCTGCTGTTATTTCATTGCCCGGCCTGGGCAAATACATGATACGAACAAGAGAAATAGGGAAAAGTAATTCAACTTTAAAGATTAGTCCTGTTTTGATACTCTGCGATTTGTAAGGAAAGCTGTAACCGCATCCTCAGCTTGTATAAAATGTCATGATTCAGTTGATTTCAGTTCAGCTATGGTGATTTACCCAAGCTGCAGATTTGGCCTCTGTTTTTTAAATAAATAATAGTTTTTACTTGAACATGTTTTCTGTAATGAAATGAGTAGTTTAAGTATCTTAAAAGTAGATTTCTGAAATTCAAATTCCATTTGTGTAGGTTTCAGGCAGAGACTCCTGGAAGAATTTAAAGTTTGTGTGGTGAACAGCCCTGCTTACTGACTGCATAGTTTGAAATTTAGCACCTGCCGAAGACATTAGCATGAACCCTAAAATATGTAAACAGTTTAAAAACTATTGGAGTGCAGTGTTGAATGAGCTAATGAAACAGCAGAATATATGTGATTTGCATTAAGGCACTAAACTTCAGAGACTTTATACAGAGAATTCATTACTTATGATGATGATGATGATGATGATGATGATGATGATGATGATGATGATGATGATGATGATGATGATGATGATTTTTTTTTTCTTTCTAATGATGATGATGATGATGATGATGATGATGATGATGATGATGATGATGATGATGATGATGATGATGATGATGATGATGATGATGATGATGATGATGATGATGATGATGATGATGATGATGATGATGATGATGATGATGATGATGATGATGATGATGATGATGATGATGATGATGATGATGATGATGATGATGATGATGATGATGATGATGATGATGATGATGATGATGATGATGATGATGATGATGATGATGATGATGATGATGATGATGATGATGATGATGATGATGATGATGATGATGATGATGATGATGATGATGATGATGATGATGATGATGATGATGATGATGATGATGATGATGATGATGATGATGATGATGATGATGATGATGATGATGATGATGATGATGATGTTTTTTTTCTTTCTATACAGACTTTTAACACAACCAACGTGACCAAATTTTGTCCGGGTGCTCAGTGTACTTTTGCTTTTTATGGGGGAGAAAGCCTGTATCATAAATACATCTTCATCTTTCAGTTAGCCAATGTCTTTGTCTTTCTTTGGCTGGTAAACTTTGCAATTGCACTGGGTCAGTGTACCCTTGCTGGTGCCTTTGCCTCTTACTACTGGGCCTTTCGAAAGCCTGCTGATATTCCACTGTGGCCGCTCTTCTCTTCATTTGGGCGAGCAATACGGTAAGTTTGTGAAGCTGGATGTGTGTCTTGTCCTGTTTCCTAAAAGTGCTCTTTTTACCCCCAGGGAAACAGGGCTTAGAATATCAAATGGCAGTGATTAGGCAACAAGGCGTAGTCATTAGAGACCCCACCTTTCTCGTTATTGGATGTTTGTGACTTCCTGTAAACTTAGAGGTGATGTCCTGATTCATTAAGTACCCCGTTTAATAGTTTACTTTACTATTTACTAATTATAGTTAAGCTGTAAACATTTAAAAACATAGATGTAGGAGCAGTGTAATTAGAGGGTACATAAAGACTCTCTTGGAGAAGAGATAGCTAGTCCCCGTTCCACACCGCAGCTGGGCTGGTGTAATTGCCTCCCACGGATAGTCGGTCCAAACTGGGACGGACTTCATTCTCGAACAGTTGCTTCTCTTCCAAAACTGTTCAGAGAGCTTGGCTGATAGCAGATGAGCGGTAATGAGCTGAGTCGTACTATGCACCCTGGGCAGCCTGAGCTAAGAGCACCTGTACACTCAGGCACAGGCTTTGGATTTATTTTAAGGGATAGCTTCTGCTCGTAGGGAGTGTCTATGCTGTGCCATTGTGATTACAGCTAAAGTATAATCAGCGCTAACTCTGCTGTGAATGCTGGTCATTAAATAGCATTTATTTTGTATTAGATACCATACAGGTTCACTGGCGTTCGGAGCCTTAATTCTTGCAATTGTCCAGCTTATTAGAGTAATCTTGGAGTACTTGGATCATAAACTGAAAGGTGAGATTTATGAATCTGCTCTAAGTTATTAAGAACTCCTTTGACAAATGATTTCCTTTGTTTCCCAGGATGGTTCTTCAGCTATGATGATCTTAAGAGCCAAATCCCACATAGTTATTAGCCATTGCTGTTCCATTTGAAGCCAATGAATCTGTGTTAATTTACCCAAATGGAGTAGATATCCTTGGGAGCTTAATTGTAAGCATTCAAGCAGGACTTGAATCCGATCTGATTGAAAGCTAGTGAGCTAAATTTTGTTATGAAAGAGAGTCTATGCCTAGAAGAAAAGAAATAATGTTTCTGCTTTTGCTGCAAATCAGCATTCCCTTCCGCATGGCTTTCTATGTTCTGAAGACTGGTCATGAGCTCTGTATGCTGTACTCTCCCTTTTTTTCAGGTACACAAAACTCCTTCACTAGATTTCTACTCTGCTGCCTCAAATGCTGCTTCTGGTGTTTGGAAAAATTCTTAAAATTTATAAACAGAAATGCCTACATTATGGTATGTATTTGCCTTCTCAGCATATGCTCTCCCCTGTCTAGGACATTAAAATACCCTAGCCGCTACTGGTTGGTCAACAGCCGTCACTGTTGCAATCTGCTGAATAAATCATCCCCTTTCACCCTCTCCCTCCCCAGAAGTAGAGTGGGAGGGGAGGGCATAAATAGTTAACTTCCCCCTCTTAATCCGCAGTTCAAATCTTAATTTCAACAGGAGTGCTGGCCTGTTTCATATTGCACGTTGAAGCACTTCAACACTCCTGTTAAAGGGCAGTGTTTTAGATAAGGCAGTCAGAAGGCAGGTGGTACCTGGTTTTGCCCCGGAAGTCAAAAGCATGAATTCTACTAGCAGCTGCAGTTATGTTACTCTAAAATAACCCTAACTGGCTTCCAGAAGAGAAATTCCAGGTTTTCAGCTAAATGAATACACATCGATTTCAGCCCACGATGTTTTTACTTGAAGCAATTTCAGTGAAAGCAATTTTGCAATCATGGATCTGTTTTCTCAGAAGTGGCTGTAATGGGTCTGGTCAAACCCATGTTCACGCAAAAGGTGTTTCAGATTAATGCAGTCCTGAAGAGGCAGTATTCTTTCTGACAGTCTTGTTTACGGTAGGCAAACTCACTGCCTTAATATCAGAAACTCCAGAAGGACTGTTTTAGTATAGCTTACCCCTGAGGATATAGTAGCCTGGAAAAAAATGATTTTATTCCTGAATAACTTTAGCTGGTTTACTTTATGCCAGTGGAAGTCCACTGGCTTCAGTACTAGTATTCCTGATTTGTTCTTCAGTGAGAGCAGATGTGGGTCCAAAAAGATATCTAAAACAGGTCAACTCACTTTTGCTCTACAAGTGCCTGTTTCCTTCTGCTGTCTATAAATTTAGTGTGAGTAACAAGCAAAGGGAGAAGACTCCCTCAGCAAGTGCCTTACTCGTTCTGCTTGGAAAATAAAGTGTTGGCTCTGTTGCCTGCAAGGTATCAAGGGGCAGCAGGCTCACAGCCAGGCACTTTGGAGAGGAAAGATGGGTGATGCTCTGTCATGGCTCTGCCTTTCTAATTAAGACTAGAGAGAATGGTGTGTTACACTCCGTAAGATTCCAGGAGGAGTTATCCTAATTCATTAAAATACTTATCAAACAACTGCTGTTATTTTGCAGATTGCCATATATGGAAAAAACTTCTGCACCTCAGCAAAGGAGGCGTTCTTCCTGCTCATGCGTAACGTGGTGAGGTAAGGAGCCATCTCCTGCTCCTTGGCAATGGCAAGATTTCCTGCTCTTGCACGCCGAGGACTCACTTCTTTCCTCCCCCACCTCTACTCTGAAAATTAATTTAAGCTGGTTCTGTCCCCAGACACGGCCCTCACTTTCTAGCAGCGCGTGTGTTTCAGCAAGCTGTCCAGTACACTACCCTAGGCAAAGTTGGTCTGATCTAAGAGACAGTTCTGTTGTGATTGCTCTTTTAAAATCATAAGCACCCCTGTAGATTTGTAATAGGGCTTCCAAGGACGCAGCGGAGCCCCTAAGAGATCGAGATCTGCGGATACCCGTCTGTGGGTGCTCATCATCTGCTATTTGTGTGTTTCTTGAGCTTTGGTCCATTTGCTTTCTTTGAAAAGGAAAAAGGACCTAAGCATTCAAATTTGTCCCAGAAAACCTGTGGGGTGTTAGAGAGTGGCAAGAAAGAAGCGGGAGCGCTTCAAATCCAGTGTCTTGGACATGTAACGCTGCCAGAGCTGTCCTAGTGCTGGGAACCCCCCGGGCCTTTTCCCCGCTACCAAGGCAGCTGCCAAGGTCCCCGTTCTCATCAGTACTTTTCTTCACTGCTCCTGGCTCTTCTTGTAATACAGCGACATCCAAAAGAATGGGAGAAAAACTTAGGTGCCGGCCATGTTGATGCGATAGCAGACGGTCTAATTACCAAGCGGGAGACACAGTAAAACAGGTTCGGTAGTTCACATTCTGTAGTGAAGCACTAGGAGGAGAGGAGTGGAGTGGGACACTGAAAGAGAGGAACATGGAAACAGTGTTTAAGAAAAGGGAGGAAAGGACAGGCGATGGGAGCGTGGCGTGCCTCCGCTGGGTTCGCCGGAGTCGGGGTGTCTGCACCATGCAGCGCCCGTGCAGTGGGAAGCGGGACTGCCTCCAGCACCGTCGCCCTGCTGCCTTGGCGCGCCTGCTCCGCATCAGTGAGCAGTAGCTAAAACCAGGCTATATATAATTGTACTGCTTTGAGTGGAGTTTTTTTTTAATCTTGCATGTTTTGGTTATGATTCTGAACTTTGACAGGCTAATGGTAGTTTGTTGTCTTTAACGTTTGTTAAACGCTTATCTTTCGTGGTAGTCAGAACTGCATGTTGCCATTGCAATAGCCTTCCGCGCTGCCAGGAGGCTGACGAGGGCTCATTTTCCACGCCGCTGGCTGCCTGCAGTTTCCGAGGAGACAGCCCTGCTCCTTGCCCTTCCTGTGCTGCTGCCTTCGGCCAGGGCTGGGCAAGGCGGATTTACTGCCAGCTTTCCAGCCTACCTTCATCGTTCCTCTGGGACCGTCTCTCCTCGGCTTTGAGATCTCCCACCTTCAGTGTTGTACAGTGGCATCTGAAAATAGCTCTGTAGATCTGGCATACTCTGGAATAATGGGATGTGGCCAGATGGGACCAGGAAACAGAAAACCTGGGAGCAATCCACGCAAACGCTGCGCCTCCTTTTGGGGGGTGCTCTGCCTGCCCCGGGCCGGCCTCGCTGTGACCCCGACAGAAAGGCTGAAGTAAAGATACTTCGACGATGGGGTTTTTTTGACCAGTAAGGGCCACAAAGAGTCTTCACGTGGTGCCAGCAGTTTTGTGGCGTTAAGGCCTATCTCAACGAGCGGCTCCGTGCTGTTTGCCACAGGGCATTAGGCTGTCACCGAGCCCTTCTCACTGCTGCTTTTCTGCATTCTTTTATTGCCAGACCGAGAAACCAGCAGAAGACAACTTCTTGGTCATGTTTTGCATATTATCCATAGATTTAAGGAAAGAGAATACAAATGTCTGTTTTGTGATGATTATGTATGATTTTACTTTGCTGAACAGAGTTGCAGTTCTGGACAAAGTTACGGACTTTCTTTTATTCCTGGGGAAAATTCTCGTTGCTGGTGGTGTAGGTAAGTTGAACCCGTTCTTTCCCAATGGTATGTTTCTATTTTCTGGTACCCACAAGTATGCCGTGTCCATATGTACTCAGTTAATGGCTGGAGGTTCTCATAGGAACCTGTTCCTGTGTCCAAGGATTTGCAAGATTGCACTAAAATATATATATTTTTTCCTTTTTCCTCCTCTTTTACGTGCTCTTGACAGCATCTTTTCCGTAATTGCTTTTACTGTTCTTGCATGTATTGCTGGCACAAGAACCTCCACAGCCAAAGCTTTGTAGCTGGATCAAACCAAACTTGCACCCTGTAAGTCAGCCGCGACCTGCTCTCCCCTCATGAGACCTGAGCAAAGCTGCACACGTCATTCACCCGGCAGCAGGCGGCACAGGAGGACGCGCGGGTCCGCCGGCGCGGCGCCTGCAGCTCTGCTGCGTTCAAGCCCATTCAAAAGATCCTCCACGCTGTACTAAAAGAAATCAGCAAAATATTTCTAACATCCTTCTAGGCTGTTGTTATCAGTACATTTCCGAATATAGCAGTCACAGTTTGCTGTGGCAGAAAGTGATGTTTAAAAACCAAAGCCCTTTCAGAAAGTCACGTTGGCAGTATTCCCTTAAGGCGTCTCTAAATTGTCACAGCAGTTTTAAAACATTATTTTACTAATAACCGTGTTTTGTAATTGGCATACTTAAAAAGAATTACAAATGGATTCTGTTTTTACCAAAAGTTGAAAATTAGCACTAAGGCCACATCTAAAATGTTTTCTCATTAATGTAGAATGACTTTCAAACTGGCGCGACAGACTTGATTTGAAACTTATTCTCTGAAACGCAAGCCATGACATACTGAAATGAATTAATGTCTTTTTCCTCTTCAGGGATAAATTCTTTGGCTATTTCTGTTCTAGATGCCTCTTTCTGTAGTAGATGTATTATTGTGCGCTACCATTTCTCTTTTTAATCTGCAGTAGTTAAGTATTTCAGGTAATAAGAGCTAACGAGCAGAATTCTCCTTAGTTGCCTTTTTTATTTTAGAAAAGATCCACCCAAAGGTCTTTGATGTTATCCCACGTGTTATTGTCTTGTTTATCATTATTTATTAATTTTGATATTAAATCCAGTGGAATGGTGAAACAAAACAATTGATTAAATTCTTTCTGGCCCCATGAGTATCTTTATGCTAATTCATTCATTTACATCCCACTTTTCATCAGCATACAGATCAAGGAGATAATTAATATCTAGGACTGTATTGTTTAAAAGCTCTTCTATAAACCAACCTTGGATCTACAGTCTGTTATTTTTGTCTCGCCCGTTCCTTAGGCGTGAAGAGGTCGCCGTCACCCTAGGACTAACTGATGTTCTGTGCTTCTTGCAGGCGTCCTCGCCTTCTTTTTCTTCACGCAGAGAATACCAGTGTTTGCAAAGGAAGCACCAACATTAAATTACTACTGGGTACCGTTGTTGGTAAGTCCGTCATCTAATCGCCCCGACGCTGCGGGCAGTTTGAGGTGCTCAGGCTGCTCGGGGCACGTGCTGGTGACAGCGTCTCCGTCCTGCTCGGGGCGGCACGGCGTGCCCCGAAGGGCGGGGGACCTGCCGTGCCCCCACCCGGCCCCGCCGGGAGGCAGCAAATGCCGGTGGTGAGGCGCCGACGACAGCGCGGCTTCTAACAGCGGAGACCTGCGATGCAATGCTTTCTCCTTTTGCATCCTTTTTGCATCCTTCTCTGGGATGAGTGGTCTTTTAGAAGACTATTTGGAAGGAGCTCAGAGTGTTCTTGCGATATGTTCTGCATGGGGGCTGACGTGGCCCCAATTTGGCAGCTGAAAAAACCAGCAGCTACTGTATGTTAGAAACCTGTGATCCCTTTCCACAGCAGTAACCCTACCGTAGAATTATAGAGCTGCAATTAAATCCTCCCAGATTTGCTTTCCAGACTGGGCTCCTGACCTGTGTCTTTGGCACACTGCGGTAACATTTAGGGTTTTATTGTGGTTTGTTTTTTGTAGACTGTCATTATTGGCTCCTACCTAATTGCACATGG